TCTCTGATTCCCGCTCTATGGTACAATTAGCTAAGACTAACAATGTCAGAATGAATGTAATAATGTCTACGATGTAATGTATTACGATGTAATAATGTACATATTGTAAGCTTTCCAGAACGCAAGGGAAGTAACCCCACACAATTCATCGAAACCTGGCCAATAGAGATTTTTGGCAAAGTTGCTTTTACTCCTCTGTTTGCAGTAGAACAAACACATTGTACTCCTACTCACCCCTTGCCTACTGGACAACTGCCCAGACCTGCTTTGGCACGTCTTCTCAATTACAAAGATAGAGAGATCATACTATGACTGGCTAGGGAGCGCTCCAACATTCAATTCAATGGGGCTAAAGTTTCCTTTTACCCTGACTTCTTGGTGGAGGTGCAGCGTAAGAAAGCTAAATTTCTTGAGATTAAAGGACTCCTCCGAACCCTGCAACTGACATATGCGATACTGTACTCTGCTCGCCTGAAAATCATTGCCGATAATCAGTCACACTTTTTTATTCTGCTGTCGCTGCCTCAAAGTGGGTGGACATACATGAAGCTCAACAGCGACGTTGTCCACGCAATCCGGATGATTGACTCTTGCCGCCATACATTCCTTGATAAGCTTGGGTGCCTGATATGCCTTGTTCATTCCTCACCAGGAAGTTATTTTTGTAGACTGATGCAATACCGAGCTCTACTCAAGTTGGTTGTAAGATTTGAATAATCACAGAGCCATAAAAAACATACAGAGAAGAATAAGGGACTTTTTAAGCACCAAAATGACAAAAAAGTCCCTTTTTCTTCTCTGTATGTTTTTTTATGGCTCTGCAATTTTGGGATAAGCACCCTGTACATTTAACACATTTGACCAGCACTATATATTTTCTTTGAATAATCAAACTAGTGTATGAATGGCAGTTAACAATATGTGATTCAATCCATTCGCCCCTGGGTGTCAGCAATCTGGCCCAGTGGATAAGCTAACACTCAGTTCACCAAATGTTTTGTGGATTTGTTTTTTTAGGCACCGTTATGCCACTGTTCAGAATGAACCTTCAAACCTTTTTTCCAGTGTTGACCATCCTAACTACCTTGTTTTTTTGTGAGCGGTGCAGTGCCCTGCAGTATGAATCGTGGTCTTTCTGACTGTTTTAAGGGAGCAGTGGAGCCTTTGATACTGAGCGTATCCTTTCCTAGCAATATCCTAACATTACTACCTCTACTTTATTTCTGGAAGACATTCCTGTAATACATTAGAGGCCTCAATGACCCACTGAAAAAGATGATGGTATCTACAGTACTGCATAAACATAAGCCTGCTATCTGTGGCCTACAGGAGACTCATCTCACCAGGGACACTCTATGGCACGGTTTTCTTGGGCGGGATGGATGTATCACTCCACTCACACTGCCTATTCACGTGGGATGTGTGTTTTGATACATAAAGCCATACCTTACCAGGAGATGGTGTGTGATATTCATCCCGAGGGCAGATTTGTATTTCTGTTGTGTAAGCTATACTCTGTTATCTGTGTCTTAGCAGTTGTTTATATACCTCTACCCTTTTCAACCACTATCTTGAGACAATTGGTAGAGCTTTTGCTTGCTTGCTTGACAAGCCTAATGTGCCATTGTTTGTGCTGGGTGACTTTAATGGGTATCTGGATCCCACTTTATATAAACACTTCCCGACTGCAGCAGGTTCCCGAGCTAGAGGGACTGCCCTTGGTAGTTTCTTGTCCGAGGTAGATTGGGTGGATTACTGGCGTATGCATTACCCCACTTCCCGTCAATTCTCCTGCTTCTCCAAAACCCATAGCACGCTTTCTCACATTGACCTATGTGTTGGAAATTCATTAGCAGTCTCTAATCAAAACGACTACCTATGGCCCTAGAAGTGCATCCGATCTCTTATCATTAGTAGTCAAGTTACAAGTTACATCCTGGTTGGCTCTCCCTCAGGCTCCATAGAAATGAAATGCTTTTTGGTTGAATTTGATCCCTTCCTATGCCATGGTAGCGCAACAGATCGATGATTTCTTCCATCATAATGATCTACAAGTCGATCCTTTACTTACTTGGGATACATTTAAGGCATTCCTTAGGGGAGAATTTGTGTTGGAAATATCTGCGATTAAAACTAAGACGAGGATGCATGAGGCCCAGATTTGCCAGCAGGCACAACTATTGCAGTGTATGTATATTGATAACCCAACTGAGCCTAACAAACAGGCATGGTTATCAGCGTAGGAGGTGCTTCTTCATCTGAACAGTTCACAGGCGGAGAGGCGGCATTTCTTTGATAAACAAACTCTCTATGAGGAAGGTGAGCAGACTGGCCACTTTTTATCCAAATTAATTCAGACTCAGCACTCAGTACAACCAATTGGATCGTTGATTTCTTCAACAAGTAGATTGGTGGATACTCCCTATTATGGAAGAGCTAGTTCACTATTATACGGACCTCTACTCATCAAAATCTTCTTCCACGTTTGAGGCCCTGGACGAATATGTTCGGGATACCCCTTTACCTCTCTTCTGCCCAAAAATTACTCCTGGACTCAACTATTACAAAAGAGGAGCTTGCCAAAGCGAGCAGTCTGTTCCCCAATAATAAAATTCCCGGGAGAGGATGGTCTCCCGATGGAAGACTATAAGATATATGCTGATTCCATGTTGCCACGACTATTAGTGGTGCTGCAGCCTATGACAGATGCACTCTATCAGACTCCATGACCAGGGCCACAGTGGTACTGTTGCTGAAGCCAGACAAGGTGGCCACTGATCCCAATTCCTATAGACCTATCCCTTTGTTACAGTTGGATGGGAAGATCCTAGTCAAAGTATTAGCACTTAGATTAAATAAAATCATCACCACAATAGTGAACCCTGATCAGGCAGGTTTTATGCCACAGACATCTACTGCTGTCAATTTACATAGATTATTTATTGATTTGCAAATGCCGGCTGACAAAATGAGTTCCAGAGCACTGTTGTCTCTTGATGCAACTAAGGCGTTTGATAGTGTAGAATGGGTCTATTTGTGGGGGATTCTAGAGAAGTATGGATTCGGCAAGCGTTTTAACCTGGATAAAGCTTTTATATCTTATATCTCCCTGTGCAGCTATCAGACAAGGCAGAGGAACTTCTCTAACTTTTCAGCTAGCTAGGGGTACCCGACAGGGCTGCCCCCTCTCTCCACTATCGTTTGCATTGGCCATTGAACCTCTGGTGGCGCGAAGTCAGGCTAGTGAGGAGGTGGTGGGTTTTCGATATGTTAACATCCACAAAATAATATTGTTGTATGCAGATGACGTATTACTTTTGCTTGGCAATACAGGCTCATCCTTACGAACAGCCATGCATATAATCTCTCAATTTGGTAAATATTCTGGGCTAATATTTAACTGGTCTAAGTCGGCCCAGCTGCCACTTGATGGTGTCATGGACCCAGCAATGTCTACTTTCTGTCCAGTTATAATAACATCCTCCTTTAAATACCTGGGTATTCTGATTAGTTCCAATTTGCTAGACTACTGTTGATTAAACCCAGCCCGTTGTTGACTCGCTTCAAAAACAAGATGAAGATATGGTCTAAGTTCTAGATGTCTTTGGCAGGTAGAGCAAACCTTATAAAAATGATATTTATACCCCAAATGCTGTATTTTCTTCACAATTCGCCAGTAATGATTCCACTGAAAACCTTCTTGATTATAAATACTATTCTTCATTCCTTACCTTGGGGAAACCACCCACCAAGGATACGGATAGAACAGTTACAACATCCTAAGGATAGAGGGGGGATAGCTTTGCCTAATCCCTGGTTGTATTATCTGGCTAGCCAGGTGCAACATCTGCGTAAAGGTATGGCGGAAGGAGGCACCACTAATGCCACGGCTAATGATTCTATGCTGCAAGTGATGTTACACTGAACGGCCTCTTGCTCATTACCAGAAGGTCTTGAGGCTCAATCTTTTTTGTAAACCAAATAATTCCTTCCCTACCTATCATCTAATTCATAAAATTTTGGTCAAGTTCAAGCAGCTGCAGCAGGTTACAGGTCACACCACATATAATCCCATATGGAATAATGTGGCATTACCAGAACTGGCCACGCTACAATATGCCTCTAAGTGGAAATCCTATGGGCTAACTCATTTGAAACATATATTCGACAATGGTCAATTCACGTCATTTGATACATTGAAGTCCAGGTATAATTTACCATCTACACTGCTATTTTATTACATGCAGTTAAAACATTCAGTTGCCGCTCAAGGCCCATTAGCGTTATGGCACTCCACCCCCACCCCCATTTTCAGTTATTTGCACTCAGCTACAACTACTAAAGGGATTATTTCTCGCTGCTATACCATGCTTTTACCATGCTTCTGTCAGATTACTTAGAAAAATACCCAAATAGGGCTAGTGGGCAGTAGGAGCGAGGTGTGGGGCTTTTGAGGAAGACCATTGTGAGGCAGCTCTGCAGTCTATCTCCATCCATCTTAGCTTGTTGACGGTTTTTCAACGTATATCACAACTGTATATTGTACTTAGGGCTCATTATACACCAGCTAAAATGTGTGTGTGATGGGGCTACATCAGGACCCTATTTGTAACAGATGTAAGCGGGACCATGGAGATCTTATTCACATGCTATGGCAGTGCCCGAAACTTCATCGATACTGGGAGGAAGTGATCACCACTCTTAATTTGGTGTTTCACACTAACCTACTTCTAGACCCTAAACAATGTCTTTTAGGTATTTTGAATAATGTTAACCAAGATACATTTCTACTAGAAGCCCTCTCCAAGGCCCTGTTCCAGGCATGCAAGGCTATTCTTGTGTGCTGGAAATCAGAGACTCCCCCTACTATGGAGGAATGGAGGCAGGATATGGGCACCATCTTGTGATACAATCGTTTAATTTACTAACATCGTGGGTGCCCAGGTAAATTTGAGAAACTCTGGGAAGCATGGTTGGCCACTCTGGGTTTAGTCCCATTGGATTTGATAGTTGTGACAGTGTGGCGATCTGTCACCCTGGATTCTCAACAAGGCAGGTTGAGGGGCTCCAGGGTAAATGTTTGATATGGAGGAAAGTGGCTTTTCACCTTCCTCCTTTGTTTGTAAGGTCTGTTTTGGGATCTGGAGCCTGGAGATTTCAAAGAGATCTGGGAGGGATGAAATCTCCAATCCTGGGACCAGGTTTTGGGATAGGCCAGGAGACTGATTGCACAGGTGTGTGCAGGCCTTTAGAGAGAGTCAGGACCAGGGTTCTGGGCTCCACCCCGGCAGCTAGGAGTCAGCAGGGCCCCACCCTGGCAGATAGGAGTCAGGTGGGCTTCAGCTAGGAGAGGTGGGAGCCAAAAGCAGCAAGGGGCTGCTAGAGACTAGCTGTGTGCTAGTGGCCAGCGGTGTGCAAGAGCCGTGTCTAGAGAAGAAGTCTGCAGGAGGCAGATATCAAGCTCAGTATAAGCCAGGAGGCTGAATTTTGTTTTGTGGATGATCAATACCCCTGTGTGGGAAACTTCTGTTATTTGAACTTTCTTGTAAATAAAAGTGGGCAAAAAAGCCCTTAAAAGAAGCGAGTTGCTGTGTGCTTTGAAGAAGCTCTACCACGTTGAAGCGAGTTCCCACATATGGTGGAGGATGCAGTGGGCAGAACGGAAGATCCCTGCGATGAAGTAAGTTCATCAGTTATATGAACTGTTTGGTGCATAAGTCTGCACTATCTGTGTGTGCAGGTGAGGAGAACCTGCTAGAGAAAAGGACTTTGCCTTAAAGAGACAGTGTTCAATGGTGTTGCTGAACTGTGTAACACACTGCTGTGTGCATGACTGCAAAGATGGGGCGGTCAAAACAGAAAAAGGAAGCAATGTTTGCTGAAGCGAGAGATAGAGCCCTGTGGCTAGGGGGTTATACACCGCATGCCCCAGCCAAGCCGGGAAATTTAGATGTGGGTGAGTCTGCTGTGGACTGGTGCAAGCGGCACCTGGCAGCATTGAACCAACCTACAGAGGAAAGCAAGCCAACCTTCAGTGCAAGGAGAGAGCTGCAGGATGTCCGTACCTGGGAGAGGGGTGTTGTTGCCCCTGGCAACACTGCTGCAGTTAAACCAGTAGCTGTTGTGAAAAATGTGAATGTGTCACGGCTTGAGAGTTGGTCCAGCAGAGAGAAGCCTATGCTATGTGCAAGGAGAGGGGCTGACCAGAGGCCAGGACCAAGAGTGAAGGCCCATAGCAACACAGAGGAGGCCAGTCGGGCTGTCTGTGTACGGGGGGCCATGTCGTACAAGGATCATGGCAAGTGGTATCAAGAGGAGCCAATACAGAGTGTTGGAAAGAGCCAGCAAAGTTCTGCTTGGAGAGTGCAATCTCCCATGGCGACCAGAGAAAAAAGTAGTGCCTGGAAGGAGGAGCTGCATTGAAGATGTGGCTCAGTGTCCCAACAAAGATAAGTGTGGAAATGTACCATGCCTGGAATGTGGTCAGTGGGGGCATGGGATCTTTTCCTGTCCCAGACTCTGGAATACCGCTGCTACTGGGCAAATGTCTTCAACTGCAAGTCCAGATTCTTGTTTTCAAATGTCAGCAGCCACCTCTGGCAACAGGGAGGAAGTTCCTGTTGGGCCTGCAGGGGGTGCCAGAGAGTCCATGGAGCCTATGAGGGCGTCTGTTACTTCACCTTGGGGCAAGGGAAAAGTTGCCAAGGAAAGTGCAGTTGAGGATGCGTTTATGAGACCACGCACTCAAAATGAAGATGGTGACACCTACTACTGTGGTGGGTAAGACTGTGTGTGATAAAACCATGACTGGGACTGTCATGTTGAGAAGGACTGGTTATGAGACTGTCCATTCTGATGTAGGAGTGACCCCAGTTAGTTGGGCCACTGAATGTGCTTTTGAGAGAGTGACTTTTCCCTGTGCAGTGCCTTGTACAGTGGGGAGTTAGGGGTTAAAGTTAAACCTGTGCCTGGTTCTCAAAAAGCAAGTGATGTCACTAATGTGTGCCAGTCACAGGTTGGTAGTGGGATAGAACAGCCCACAAGAGCTAAAAATGCTGATGTTGATGTGAAATGTTCTGCTGTTGGGAAAACCCTGAGCTCTTGCAGTGCAATAATAACCACAAACCAACGTGACCCAACCATTTTGTGCAAAAAACAACCTCACCCCTACTAAGCCCGTCTATTCCCATGTGTCTCCACTTCCCATGGATCGGTACTCCACACCCAAAAACCCACAGCACATATACAACCAACTGTCTGGAAGTTGGGGTAAACACGGGTAAATTTCCTATCCAACCTACACTACCAAAATACCCCACCAACAAAATTAAAACCCAACACACTGTTACTATTCTTTATGTAATACAGCAGTAAATGGTTCTTACAATGGATGAAGTTTCATTGCCACAACGGCTTATTTCAACCCCTTAATGACTACACTATGAAGAACAGAAGGTTCATGTACAGGTGCTTTATCCATCAGGTATTGAAAACACCTGTGGATGTCACCTTATGAGCAGTGTTTAATCCAAGCATAATAAGAGACCAATCTAGGTGAGCTTTAACTAAAATGAACTGTGATACTCAGCTCCTTCTAGACATAACTGGTGTGGTTACAAACATGGTGAAGGCAAGAGAATGGTCCAGGAAATCAAGATGAAGAGGTGATTCTTCTCACAGGAAGGGCAATGGCTATAAGAAGATTGCAAAGATGTTAAACATACCAAGAGGACACCTTAGGAAACACTCATTCGCAAATTCAGCAATGGCAAAGGGACACTGTTGAACGCAATTACTGGTCGTGGCAGAAAGAAGATGCTGTACTTCGACTGCTGTGCGCTACCCTGAAGCGTAGAGTGGATAGAGAAGTCCCCGTGTGACTGCTTGAGGAACTGAGAAAAGAAATTTGTCAAGATGTGGGTACAGAAGATTGAAAGATTGTTTCAGAGACACCAGAAGCAGTCATTCAAAGTTAAGGCAATAGGACGCACACTGCGAATAATGAAGGCCGTACCTACGTGCCAGAGTGGAGCACTCCCAGGCGTACCCCTTGCTGTCTCCAAAGAAAAACTAAGAAAGAGTCGACTGCAGTATGCCAAAAGCCATGTGGACAAACCACAAAAGTTGTGGGATAGTGTTCTGTGGACTGATGAAACAAAATTAGAACTGTTTGGGCCCATGATCCAACGCTATGTTTGGAGGAGGAAGAACAAGGCCTATGATGAAAAAAGCCTTGCCTACATGGTGGTGACACCTTGCCTTCTGTGGGACCCCCCCCCCCCCCCCCCCCCCCCCCCCCCCCCCCCCCCCCCCCCCCCCCCCCCCCCCCCCCCCCCCCCCAGCATAAGCTTCAGCGTGGTGCAGTGGTTTCCATGGTCCGGGTCAATCATGCACTTGGGGCTGTTTTGCTTCTGCAGGTACAGGGAAGCTTCAGCGTGTGCAAGGTACCATGAATTCTCTTCAGTACCAGGAGATATTGGATGGAAACGTGATGCAGTCCGTCACACACCTGAGGCTTGGGAGACGTTGGACTTTCAACAGGACAATGATCCCAAGCATACCTCCAAGTCCACTAGAGCATGGTTGCAGAGGAAAGGCTGGAACATTTTGGAGTGGCCATCGCAGTCACCAGACTTAAATTCCGATTGAGAACCTCTGGTGGGACTTAAAGAAAGCAGTTGCAGTGCGCAAGCCTAAGAATGTGACTGAACTGGAGGCCTTTGCCCATGAAGAATGGGCGAAGATACCCGTAGATCGCTGCAAGACACTTGTGTCAAGCTATGCTTCACGTTTAAAAGCTGTTTATAACTGTAAAAGGATGCTGTACTAAGTACTAAGATTGAATGTCACTTGGGGGTTGAATAAAACTGATAATGCTGTGAGCACAGAAAAGACATTTGTGGTTATTTCATTATAACTGTTATGTTATATTTGTCTGACCTACAAGTGCCTCTTTAATGTAAATGTAAGCAAGATGACTGAATGATCAAAAGCAATGTCAAACTGGCCAAACACTCAATTTCAGTGGGGGTTGAATAATTTTGGCCACAACTGTATAGAACAGCCTATAGATAAGGGCATGCATACAGCAGAGACTTTGTCTGTGACCCACAAAAGTGATGTTGGCATGGAGTGTCAAAATGATGTTGTCACTGGGAATGATCAGGAGCAGCTTTGGATGCTGAGTCTGAGATGTTGAGAGTGAGCCCAGCACATGGCAGCGCTCTGGTGGAGCACCAGGCTGTGGTTATCTCCAGCTTGGAGGAGGTCCCTTTAAAAGTTTCAGCTTCTCAAGTCTCAGCAGGTGAGTCTCTCAGCGTTCCCAGTGCCCTAAATATGGTCAGGAAGGTCTTGGGTATAGAGTCAAGTGGTTGGGTTGTAACCAAAGTATTAAAGGAGATGCTTGAACTTTGGAATGTACAACCAATGTATACTGGGGTGTCTCCTCCACAGTCAGATGGTCTGGTACTGCGGAGTACCACTAGGTGGAGCACCGAATGGCTGGCTGTACAGATCAAAGGGGAACAAGAAATCGTTTGTTTCTGAATTTGTTGATGGTGTTTAAAAGTTGTATCAGGGTATGCCGCTGGACTACCTGTCAATGTATTTGAGAGAAGTTTTTGGAGAAATGAAAAATGAGTCAAAGGTTTCACCTCCTAACAGCCAGGTGGGCAGCATTTCTGCTGCTATGGTCCAGGATGGTGGCTGGTCAGTTGTCAGTTAAGGGCGTGTTTACTGCACCATTGGACAAACCACATGAGATGGAAGGGCCGAGCATGGACCAGAGAAACAGCAGAGATCCTGACCAGGGCTCAGACGGATGTGCATAAAGAAATCAGGGTCATTGGGCCAAAAAGAGATTTATGTAGCAGGTCTGATAAGACACCTGAAATACAGGGACCAATGGTATGTGAAAACTGGCAAAATGGATCAGAAGAGAGCTCATCTGTACAGCATTTGGATACAGATCCAAGTGGTGTAGGAAAAGTTAAAATGGTGGGACAGCTGCTTGCAGAGTGCATGATGCCAGGTGAAGTGGCATTTTGTGAGGTTCACGTGGGTGATGGCTGCCCTATGGTGTGTGTGCCCTCTGCAGACACTGTCCTAACTAATGCTGGAAAAATGTATTGAAAGATGTAATATTGACTGGAAGTTATCTGTTCATGGTAAACTGAATGCTGTGGTAAATGAGTCATGCAGGTTTGATAGCTAGAGGTACAAGAAAATCAGGGGGGTGGTCCTGGTACAAATACAGTAG